AGCCACTTTTCTATTTTTGTGATATGTTCTTGTAGTAATGTAACTGCTGTTGCAGGGTTGGTGTGCCTGACTAGTACCGCTGTGTCGCGCGCGAATGTCAGTATTTTGCTATTGGTAGTTTTTGGTATGTTGGCCGTGTATAGTGTGTATAGTATTGGTTCTAAGACGCTTCCTTGCGGAACCCCTGCCTCAGAGTAGTTGACTTCGGAATATGTGTCCTTGATTTTTATTACGAAGGTCCTGTTGCTTAAGTAAGATTTTATTAATTGGTATATTTGCTCCGGGAATTCCGTATATCTGCTCCGGGAATTGTTTTCTGATTGATTGAAGTAGACTTTCGTGGTTTATTTTGTCAAATGCTTTCTCGATGTCCATAAAGAGGGCTGTGAAATATTGTTTGTTTTCTAATGCTGGTATTATTTCATTTGTGAGTCTGTGCATTTGCTCTATTGTGGAGTGTTTGTTTCTGAATCTAAATTGGTGATCTGGTATTGATTTTTCCTTCTATACTATTGGTTTTAAGCGGGCGTAAATTATTTTTTCTAGTATTTTGGAAAACACGGGAAGTAGTGACATTGGTCTGTAAGATGCTGTTTGGTGTGGGTCTTTCCCTGGTTTGGGTAACATTATGATCTGTGCTAGTTTCCATAGTTTAGGATAGTATTGGATTCTTAATATTGCATTGTAAATTATTGTGATTAGTCGTATCGCTTTTGAGGGAAGGTTTTTCAAGATTTTACCATTGATTAGGTCGACTCCTGGTGCTTCATTATTTTTTGTTTTCTCAATTATGTTTCTAATTTTTTGTGCTGTTGTTTTGGGTATGGTGTAGTATTTGTCAGTTGAGGTACTAGTGGTTAACGCAACCTCGTCGGTATGACAATTGCGGTTGCTATTATTGATACTACGTGGTGTAAATGTGTTGCTTAGGTGGTTGGAAAATTCTTCAGCTTTTTCTTCGTTGCTTCTTGCCCATGTATTATTTGCTGTTTTTTATGGTTTTTTTTATTTTTTTTTTTTTTTTTTTTTTTTGTGGCTTTCCATAGGGAGTAATTGGAGTTCTCGTGCGCAGGTAGTGACAGTATGAATTTTGTGAACTCGTTGTTATTGTGTTCTTTTATTTTGTTTTTTATTTCCTTTGCAAGTTTATTTAGGTGTTTTTTGTTTTCTTTTGATCTATGTTTTTGCCACTTTGTTTTCGCTTTTCTTTTTTCTCTAATTTTTTCTGTAAGTGTTGTTACTGCTTGTTCGGTGTGTTCAGGTGTTTTCAATGGGATGGGTGATTCAAACACGGAAATGCTAACAAAAATGATAAGTGAACAAAACGCAGTCCGCAGACAGCAAACGCAACAAATCACGCTCATGCTACAACTACTTACAAACATGCTAAGCAAAAAATAAAAATGGACACACTTAAAATAGCAACCTGGAATTCTAACGGCCTACAACAAAGGACCCTAGAAACTAAAACATTCCTGTACAACAATAATATTGTCATACTACTCCTATCAGAAACACACTTCACTATAAAAAGCTATTTCAAAATACCGTACTACACCATATATGATACCAAGCATCTTTCAGGAAAAGCACACGGAGGGACCGCAGTAATAATAAGAAACGACATTAAACACCATTTATGCAGCCAAATTTGTAAGGAATATATCCAAGCAACCACCGTTACAGTACAAACTAGCAGCAACTATTTACAGCTGTCAGCAGTATATGTACCACAGCGACACAAAATCACAACGCAAATGTGGGAAGACTACTTCCGACACTTAGGTGACAAGTATATTGCAGCGGGGGACTATAACTCAAAGCACACACTATGGGGATCAAGAATCAGCACACCTCGAGGCAGAACCTTGGAAAAATACATTAGAAATAATAACCTCAACATATTATCCACAGGAAGATCGACATACTGGCCGACAGACCTGAGCAAAATACCTGACCTGCTAGACTTTGCAGTTACAAAGGGACTAAACGCAAATAAACCTAACATAGCACCTAGCCTCGAACTTACCTCCGACCATACGCCCATAATAATTACATACAGAAACAAAC